ATCTAGGCTGTCCTACCAAAGACTTGCTTGAGTCCTCAGGAGAAGAACTGAAGATAGCATTCTCTGGCCCAGGCTTGGGGTACTGTTTTTCTGTACATTTACGGGATCTCCTTTATTCACAGGTCATGCCTACTTTCTCAGCCAGTTTGCCACACCGCAATCTCGTGCCACACTGCCTCACCTGGATCTCAGCTTTCCAGCCCCGAGAGTTGTGAGATAAGAAATGTGTACCGTAACCTGTACCAAAAAACAAATGAGATTCTAATATTGTGCTATTTATATAAAATACCCTCAAGGGAAGCTTAGTTATGGGTACACCGGGCTCTCTCTCTTTCTCCCTCTCTTTCTCTCTCTCTTTCCACTTTCACAACTTCTTGTTCTATGTATGTATGCATATATGTGTTTAGCAGTATGGGTGATTGAAACCAGGGGCATTCTACCACTGAGCTACATAAAAAAAAATTTTTTTAAGAAAATCTTAAGATTTTAAGAAAATCAAAGATTTTAAGAAAAATCTTTGAGACAGGGCTTCTCTAAAATGTCCAGGCTAACCTCAAACTTTCAGTCCTTCTGCTCAGCCTCCCTACTAGCTGGGATCACACACATGCACCACCACACTCTTCCTGGCCTGGGGATTTAGCTCAGTAGTTCCAGCGCCTGCCTCACAAGCACAAGGACCCTAGTTTGATCCCCAGTACAAAAAAAAAAAAAAAAAAAAAAAAAAAAAGGAAGATAAGCAATGACCTGGTGAGGGAAGGGGAACTTTTGCCAGACATATGGATAAAGATTAATATTAATATTCCACGATCTTTTACCAACTGATAAGAAAAAGGAAACTGAACAGAGAAAGGAACAAATGATTCACATGAAGAAACTTGCAAATTGTCAATAAACAGAATAAAAATTTTAACATCTGTAGAAATCCAGGAAAGGCAAATTAAACAGGCTTTTTTTCCATCCATGACATTTGCCTAAATGTACAAGTGAAAAGGTGATGATGTCTTGCTCTGGCTGACAGTGTTGAGAAATATGAATTGGTGCAACTTATTTGAAAAGTAATCTGGAGACACCTATTAAAATTAAAAATACAAAACCTAATTGACCCAGAAATTTTACCTTTGGAAATGTATTTTATTGTCATGAAATCCCAAGTTTACCCAAAATCACCCTTAAACAATCAGACTGTACTGTCATTGTCTTTGCTGAAGACAGAAAAACAACCTGAATTCCACTGGTTGGTAAAAGAATGGTTAAATAAACAAATGTACTAAGTCTAACCTGCCTGGAGGTATGTCTGTACAAGGTTACAGCGCAGAGTAACACCCCATTTTAAAATCCAAGCCAGAACAAATAAGCAAACTAATCAACCCTGCGTAGAAGAAGTAGGTCAGGAAAACCTCCTGATAACTAGCCCAGGGCAGCTCTAGGACAGGCAGACATTATGAACTTTTTACCTCATATTAACTCTTTAAAATAAACATGCATTAGGGCCAGGGATTTAGCTCAGTGGTTCCGCCACCTGCCTGGCAAGTACAAGGGCCCGAGTTCAATCCCCAGTACCAAAAAAACAAAAATAAATAAATAAACATGCATTAATTTAATTCCTAAAATCTAAAAAAAAAAAAAAAATTAAGGAAGGCAAATTGCTTTCCCAATTGCCTATAGAGGACAAACTCTTCAATGTAACGTGTGAAGCAGCCATGTCTAGCTCCTGCCACTTGCTTGACCTCCTCCCTCTCCATATTCCCTCCTGTGTTCAGTGCTTCACTCACTGCAAACTGCAGTGCTTATCATCTTTCAGAGATGACATCTTGGATTCTTGAACTTTTGCACACTTCCCTTGAAAGCAATATTCCTTCCCTATCTGGTAGACTCTTCCTCATTCTTCAAGAACCAGCTTAAATGCCCCCTCCCCAGTCTCTCTTCACACAGTGACACTCGTACCATATTGTAATGTTCTGTGTGTGCTCAGACACGGTGTCACCACTCACTGTGCTTGGTTCATGGTATATAGAAAGATTTTAATGTTTGCTAAATGAAATAAAATTGATCGAATTAGTATTTTACATCCACCTTGTTGGACCTAACCGTAGCATCATTTCAGCTATGTTTTGGTTCCTGTGTTTCCAATAGGGCAAAATGGACGTAACCTTTTAATAAATGGGTTAATACAGCTTGACTGAATATTTTCTCAGAAGTTGAGACACATGAAACCATTGTTTTCCAATAGCTAGAATTCATTTTTAGTTTGAGCTCAATTCTTGGGAATAAAATATAAACAAGAGAATCCACTTTCCTGTTTTAAAAGTCCCATCAATAACCCCACAGCCTGCCAGGCCTGGTGCCGCACAGCTATAATCCAAGCTCTCTGGGATGCCAAGACAGGAGGAATGCTAGTTCAAACCCAGCTTGGGCAATTTAGCAATTTACCAAGAGCTTGTCTCAGACATAAAAAGCAAAAAAAAAAAGGTCTGGGGATGTAGTTCAGTGTGAAGGCCCTGGGTTCAACTCCTAATACAAAAAAAAAAAAAAAAAAAAAAAAAATCCCACCTCTTTTTCTAGCTTCCTGATGGATGCAGTACTGGTGCTGGGCCTGTCTGCACCTGGATCCGTTCCTACCCTTTCCCCTGCGCTGTTCCGTGCTACAGAGAAGCTGGCTCCTGGATGCTGCATGTCCAAGTTCTTTTCCCACCTGGTGGCCAGCTCAGCTGCACTGATAGCAAGTGCTGGTGGAAGACTGGAAGACAGAGGGAAGGAGAAAGCTGAGGCAACTCTGCTTGTTCTTGCTGCTGTCAACAGCCTCTCTTCCGCCTCTTCAACGCATTTAAGGATCTGTGGGAAACTCCTGCCCTAATCCCTCTTTTTCTGGTTGTTCTGATTACCCTGGGCCTGGTTTCAATGCCGCCTCTTTGTCTCTGTAGTGCAAGATAGCAGTGGCTCTCTGATGTTGCTAATCTCTGGGATTTCATCTATCAGTCTGCTTTACTGTGAAACAAACTCCCAAACACAATAGCTGAAAACCTCCATTTGCAGCTCACAAGTCGTGAGGTAGTAATTCAGGCTAGGATCAGCCAGGCAATTCTTCTGCTCTTCTTAGCGAGGCACATGCGTGCACCTGCAGGTAACTGCCAACCCAGCAGAAGGATCTACTTTGGGAGCCGGCTGGCTGCCATTTGGGGCAGTGGCAGCCCATGTGTCTCTCACCATTCAATAGTCTGGGCCAGGCATGTTCAGTTGGCAGCTGGTCCCATCAAAGAGAAAGGGAAGCTCCCAAGCTTGCGACTTGTACATCACTTCCTCCCAAAGGAAATCAGAAAACTGCCCAGATTCAAGGGATAAAAAAGTAGGCTTCACTTCATGATGAGAGAGAAAAAGTTCACTGCTATGTTTGTGACCGACCACAGCTTTTATCATCTCCTCCACCACCTGTACAGCCAAGTCTCCGCATTGATTTCCTGCGCATTGAATATTTGAAGTCATCCCTATTTTCCTAGTTAGACACTGTATATATGTCAGAATGTGTTTGGTAACAGACTGTTACCATCAGTGACTCCATATTGCTTTTTTCCTGTTCTCTCTTATATTCCCAGAATATGGCCTTCAGTTTGCATTTCTGTGAGCTCGCTTATTTTCCAGAACCACCTGTTGACCACAAACCTACCTCAAAACAAGAATCTCCTGCCCTCAAGATAAGAGAATGCCATCACAACAAGTTCTCTTCCCCTAGTCAGCACCAAAATTGCCCAACTCAAGCTCCTGGAAAATGCTGATTACTTCATACAACCCCTAACTGGATCCTCACATAAATATCCCCCTACTTCCCCCAAGACTCGGCAGGTAGCACCTGAGACATTAAAAGGTCTACCCCTTCCAGGGTACCACCATCCTCAATCAAACCCACTGTCTTTCTCCCCAACGCTCATCACTTGGGCATTGGTTTTTCTGTGGATTGACCTTCCTAACCTGAGGTCAGTAACAATCACGGGTAGAGAAAACAGAAAAATCCATCCCTAACGGGGCCCTTCAATTCAAACATTTTTGCAATAAATACCACCAGCCTAGGCTCCTTTAAAGTTAGTCAACTTGACAATATATGCATTCAACAAAGATGACCTGAGTGTGTATTGCATGGTAGGCAAGATGCTAGGAATAGGGGAGTGGGGGTGGAAGTAGCACAGAGTTGGACGAGGCCTGGTGCTGGTCTTTTAAGTTAGTGCATGTCATACCTGAAGAGCCAGGCACATCGTAAGAGGACTATGGTTCCTAATGTAGTAAGGGGGATAAAGAGTATAACCTGTGTGTGTGTGTGTGTGTCTGTGTGTGTCTGTCTGTCTGCTGGAGACTGAACCCAAGGCCTTTTGCGTACTAGGCAAGTACTCTACTGTTAAGTGACATCCCCAGCCTTTTTTACATTTTATATTGAGAAAGGTCTCTCCAAATTACTCAGGCTGGGCTTGAAGTCACCATCCTCCAGCCTCAGGCTCCTGCGCACCATAGCCGAGTTCACACACAGGTGCCACGTTGTCCAGCAGAGTTCTTGAAAATAACCTAGAAAATAAGTCAGAGCCTTCTCTGTGTCGCTCACCACTCTGTCTACTGCTTGACAAAAAAGACCAGCACCCGATAACCGGTGCATAAATATTCACTGGCTGCATGAATAAAAGATGTGTACACAATGCTAACAGAGTGCAGATGAGAAAAAGGTTAATTTTCAGAATAGGAGAAAGTATCCTAATCAGAGTGAGTTATAAAATTCATCCTAAGAAAAACTGTCACATTCTGGCAGGCAGAGAAAAGGACTGGAAAGAAAGCCAGTGAGTGAGCACAGAAAGTGTGAAAGACTGGAAGTGTGGGCTGACTTCCGGCATGACGGTGCTGTTCCTCTTGGGGTCCCCCTGGCGATTGTCACCCACATGTGCACCTCCCTGGTCATTAGGTTGTTTCTTTGGGCCCAACTCATTGAGTATTCAGAAAGAGAGTTGAAGTCGGAACCACTCAGAGTTGGCAAAGGACAATTTCATTGACCTTCAGGCTGCTGAAAAAAGTGCGGGAGGGGCAGTAAAGCTTGAATGGCTACAAGGTGAGTTTGGGCAAATGTGTCCTTGTGGTTTGACTGTTTCTGAATGTGTGCCCAGAGGGTGCTGCAATAGATCCCTTTTAAAACTCTAAACAGGCACTGGGGCAACAGAATTGCCTGCAGGGGAGCTAAGTACAGGGGAGGGGTGAGGCAAGGGGCAGAGTATTTAGGGACCTTCCCCAGCCACCTGGTGCTTTTCAAACAGCAGTAACCCACACTTCTGCTCTTACTAAGTCTGGGAGCCCAGAGAAGGTCAAAACAATCTGCTCAGGTCAGCGGCTTCTAACTACAGGAAGTTGTTGCTCCCTTTTCCAGGTGGAGTAGTCAGGTAGTCCGTGCAGTCGTTTAAAGGGTGGGGAACATCGCAGTCCCTCACGTCAGGCCAGTACTTTGTGTTCAAGGTAATTCAGAGTCTTAAATTCTCAATCCTGATAGTTAATCTTAGAGCATTGCTCAGCCCGTTCTGTCCCTGTAGGCCGAAATGAAAGGCTTCCCTTCACCCTCTGAATGTTCACTGGAATGAATCAACAGTAAACAGATTAAGTAGGAGAAAAAGATGTACATATTTTAATATGCACGTGGGAGTGGAAAATCATAGCATAGGAATCACACACACACAAACGGTGAAGCTCAAAAAAAAAGACGCAACAGCTGAAACTCAAATACTCTCTTCTGAAGGGAAGGGCGGCGGGATGACGGGCAAGTTTTGAGAGATTAGTAAATTATTTTTAGGAGAACGCGATGATTTGGAAAACCTTGCCCTGTCCTGGGACAAAGTTCATTACGGGCACAGAACAGAGAAGGGAATGTAAGTGGCTCTCTTCTAAATATTAAAGTCCTGGGACAGTTCATTACGGGCACAGAACAGAGAAGGGAATGTAAGTGGCTCTCTTCTAAATATTAAGTGGAGTTGAAATAGAAGACAACAGTGTGACTAAAGTCTGTCGGGGTCTGTTGACTGATTTCAGTCTTGCTCTCTGTGATACAACTTCAGTTAATGAAAACCTAGAAGCGACTTTTTTCTTCCTTGGCTTCTCCAGGCCAAGGAGATATCAGAGAAAAGCCTCTTCCAGCACCTGCTGTCCTCTAAATTCCTCTAATTTAAAACAATCAGTAAACCAGGATGCCACATTTTGGTTTGACCGTCCCTGGACTCCTTCACCACCAAGCTGCTAAACTCTACTTATTCTTTTATTTTCCCATTTCATTTTTTTGTATTATAATAAAACCCACATAACATAAAATCTGTCTTAAAAACAAAATGAGAAAAGAAAAACAAAACAGTAACATAATTTACCCTCTTAATAATTTCCAGTGCATAAGTTCAAGAGAATTAAAGTATTCATGGTGTAGAAGCATTACCATCATCTATCTCCAAAGCTCTATCTGGTGGGACTGAAACTTTATGTACATTAAAGAACTCCCCATTTCCCCTCCCGCCAGCCACTGGCAGCCAGCAGTCCACTTTCTAAACCTCTGAATTTTATTATTCCAACTACTTCGTTCCAACTACTTTTTCTTTTCATGACAGGCTGATTTCACTCAGCAAAATATCCTCAAGTCTGACCCATGCTGTGTAGCACATGTCAGAATTTCCTTTGTATTTAAAATTCAGTGCTGTTCCAGTGTACGGACCTGCCACGTGCTGCTTCTCCATTCACCCATAAGTGGACACCTTGGTGGCATCCACGTTTCAGCTGCTGTGAGTAATGCTGCTATGAAGATGGCCGAAATTTCCCATGAAGACCCTGCTCAATTCGTATGGATGTACAGTATACTCAAAAGTCAAAACCTACTGATGCCTGCTAGTGCTCCTAAGCCACTTCCCTTAAAAGGGATAGCAGATATTCCAAAGGTTAGAAGAGATTCATGCTTTGGGGAGGAGGTGGGCTGTTCTGGTCTTAGACCAGGCAACTGAAAACCAAAAACCGAAAAGTAAGCTGCTGTAAAGGACAGAGAACATAACGAAGTAGGTATGGCTTCAGGAGCCAACATTATTTTTGTCCTGAACAGGTAGGGTTCCTCCAGGCACACAGAGGGGCTCCCCCAGGTAAGCTAATGGGGCTTTAGGGGGTACTTTCATAGAAGGTGATTTCTGGAGCAAATGCCATACTTTCCTCTCAGCTCTGCCTACACAACCTTTTTGTTTGTTTATATGGTTCCCAGCCGATGCCCATTTCCGTATTACAAAAGCAAGAAGGAGCTGCTGTGAAGCAGTGACACGACACCGTGAGTAGAAAAATGACTTCAAGAGAGAAGTCCTCATTCATGAATTTTTAATGCAAATAAAAACAGGAAAGGACAGATTGGTTAGGGGGGAAAAATGAATAAGTGACTTAAAAGACAAGCTCAAGAAAATCTTCCAGAACCTCTTTCTTTCTTTTAGAAGAAAAATATAAAAGTCATGAGAAAACAGGGAGACATAAAAGATAGATATGTGACATCCAAAAACAAATACTTCATCTTGCAGAAGACTAGAACAGAAAAGCCAAAATTATAGCCTTCGGTATAGATTTTATAAAAACAAACTTCAAAATCAGAGATACCGGGCTTGAATCTGCTCTCTGGCACTTTTAGCTGTGTAGACGTGGGTGACTTGCTGGACTTCAGTATTTCAGTGTCTTGGTTCTATGAAGTGGGTTATAAGAGTAGTACTCACTGTTTAGGGTAGTTAGGAAATGGTGTGAGGTGATGTTTGTAAAACATCTTGCGTGAGGTTTTAACATATATAAACATTCGATTGTGTCCCTTTCAAAATTCCTTTGTTGAAACCTTAACACCTAATACCTTAGAATGTGAATATTTGGAGATAGGACCTTTCACCAGGTGACCAAAATGAGGCTGTTTGGCGGGACCCTTGTGCAGCCTGACTGGTGTCTCTGTAGAAAGAGGAGTTTAGGACACACAGAGGCAGGGAGGTCGACACCCACTGGGAAGCCTCCAGAACGGCCGCAAAGTAACCATTCAGTCTGCAGTGTTTCCTTATAGCAACCCCAGCAAGCTAATATTTTAAATCAAGATGCAGAGCTAAAAACTACGGTGGCCTTGGTCTCCTAGGCCGACTGCACAGAAGGAGCCAGAATCCACACTCCCCTCCAGTCCTGCCACCCTGGCCGACTTGCTGTGTGACTCACACTGTTTCTGGTTTCAGCGCGTGGGGGTGGGGGCTGCTCTGGAGCATGAGACCATCCAACAATTTCAATGAGTCAACAGCAGGGAAGCCCCTGAGATTCCAGGACCTGCTCTATCCTCCAGCCCCTGGCTTCTCTGGGCATGCCGAGAGCACATCACCCCAAAATAATAAGGTTTTCCAAATCGCGACAATTGCCTTCCCATCCTCCGCTGCAGTGTCAGAAGGTCAGATCCCACCAGAGGCTACCCCAGATGTGGTTTTAAAATAGTCCTTTCAGAAGCCCACAATTAAAGCCTAATTACATATTCTTGCCAATTAGAGAAGGAGTTGCCCTTCCTAGTAATGGCAGAGTCCTCAAATATTCATAGTCTGAAAAAAAAGGATATTTCTCTCACTTTCTCCCCCAACCAGCTGCTCTTCTTCCAGTGGCAAAAAGTTTATAAACCTCTGCCACTGTTTGTAACCTTGGAAAAGTTATTTTAACCTCTGGACCTGATAAATCATCTATAAAACCATGCCAATAACACCTACTGTTTGAGGGATCCAATGAATCCCTCACTCAACCAACATTTATTGAGTTATCTCCAAGGCACTCATTCTTCCATTCAACAAACAACATCGCTACATGCCAACCCCCTGGGGATGTATTAGCAAACAATATCCACAGTCTCCACTCTCCCAGAGATTACCACCTAGGAAGTAGACAAAGCACAGGTGATAAACAAGTTAACTTGCAATGAGGGTGTGCTATACGGGGAAACAAAACACACTGACAAAATGGGAAGCACTAAGGGAAAAATTCATGGTTACCTGGTCATGGAAGGCCCCTCCTGGGAGACCTGAAAGATAGGTCAGATGTGGGACGACCCAGGGAAAGAATGTGTTACTAGAACAAAGCAAAGGGAGCTGCTGGTCCAGAGGTTCTGGGAGGAGGGATGGATTTAAAGAACAGAAGGAAAGGCAGCTGGGGAGAGAATGAGGACGTTAGGGTCAGACTGGAGAGGTAAATAGAGCCCGGACCGCTGGAGGTGAAGTGCTGCACTGGATGAAAGGTCTTTCAGGGCCTGGGAAGTACTTCACATGGACCAGAGGAGCACAAGACCAAAGCTAATCTCAGCTAAGGCAGAGAAGGAGCGCAGTGCACATGTCTATAATTCCAGCCCTTGAGAGGCTGAGGCAGGAAGACCACCAAGTTGGGAGCCAACCTGGACTACAGAGTGAGACCCCATTTCAAGACACAGGATCTTGGGAGGTGAACTCTGAGAGAAAAAGGCAGAAGTCAGATCAAACAGGGCTCCTTGGTCCTGGTCAATTAATTTGGCTTGTGATATAACAGTTTTTAAGATTGCACATTGGAGTCCCCCAGGTTTTAACAAGTAATGGCATCTGGGCTCCAGCTACAGGGATTGTGATGTAACTGGACTGGGTTCAGTCTGGTCCTTTGGAGATTTGTTTTGTTTTGCTTTGTTGTATACCAGGGATCGAACTTGGGACCTTGCGCTTGCCAGGCAGCCAGCAGAACCACTGGGCTAAATCCCCAGCCCTTTGGAGATTTTAAACATTCTCCCATGATTCTAAATGTGCAGCCAAACTGAAAACACAGAAGGCAGTCAGTACAAACTGGGGATGTTCACGGGCACCGGGTGTTATGTCGGAGAGGGACGGACGTGGTCTGTATTCTCTTTCAGAGCGGTCACTCTGGCTGCCCCGTAGGTGCAAGACAGTCCCACCACAGTGCCCAGTTCTTGGTGATACCTAGTGTTTTCTTCCTTCCCTCCCGGTACCCTGATAACCCTCACTCATTTGGAATTGCTGCATGCTGCCGAGAAAAAGCCCAACCAAATATGGAGAGGGAAAGTATCTCTCTGGAGCTGCCTCTGGAGCTGCCAGCTAGTAGCTGTTTTTCTCTTTCTCTATTCCTGGAATTGTCCACCCATGCCCCTCCAGGATTTGGAGCCTCCTGCCCTGTATTTTTCAGGTCCAAACTCTGCACCTTCTTTGACAACCCCATGAATCCCCCAGGCCCCAGGACAGCAGTTGCAAGGAATATTCAGAGCAACTTGGTGAGTTTATTTTGATGAAATACAATAATTATCATGCTTAGCAGCTGTTGCTATTTAAAATAAGAAAAACCTGGGCTTGAATTTAAACTGTTTGGTAAAGCATGTGCCCCACCAATCTGGTCCAACAAAATCAGACATTATGAAATCCACAGAGCTAGGGCTTGTTACAGGAAGTTGAGATGCAAATCATATTTTGTTTCAAATGAGCCCAATGAATGCATAATTTTCCACAAAGAAATACTTTTGTGTCAGGAGCCTTTTGCCAAGAACTGAAGTTCTGGGGCTGCAGCTGTTAGCAGTGTCTGATTGTCCATTTCAAACTGTAGGGAATTCTGCTTTCCTAAGGAAGATTTGGAGCAAAGACAGGAAGAGGACAGAGATGCTCTCGTCAATTGTCTTCCAGAATATTCCCTGCGAAATCTGTCTGTGTCACCCAGGCGTCTGGGCTTGCAAAAGTCCTCAGGACTTGTAGAGCCCGGACCCCAAGTCCAAACAATTCCCAATTTACTGTGCATCCAGAGTGGCTTTTCTTTTCCCTCTTACCTCAGCACCTTCTCTAAGCTTAGAGTCACTCATTCTATAGGTCAGGAGTCGTTTAATTTCAAATGGAGGAATCCTGATGCAAATGAAATAAGCAAATCAAAAAAAAATGCAAGAGGGGAATTGTTCATTCTTCTAACTGGAAAGTCCAAATCTGGTTTGGCCTTAAGCACCCTGGACCCTGGTTAAGGTCACAGAAATAGGAACTGGTCACAGACCAGTAATGGGACTAACGAGAAGTCCTCCAGGCCTAACATTTGCTTCCAGGGATTTGCAAGGCACCTGTTTCCAGTTGTACGTTTTTCTCCAGATGCAGAAGTGGGTGACTGAAGACTGAATTGAGTTTAGCGCGATGGGTATGGTGGAAAGGCACAAGTGGAAGGGAGACACCCCGAATTCAGATGATCTCCCCTGAGACAGGTCTCAGCTGAGAAGGAGAGAAGCTCAGAAAGGGACAGGTGAGGTGGGAGAGAATCAGGTGCGAGAGGTCATTGCAGGTAGAAGAAAGTTATGCTGGGAGTGACAGGAGTAAAAGACCTGGAAGAAAGGAGATGGTAGACACCAAGAGTAGGACAGGTATGTTGGGGACAAATCCTGCAAAGAATATTTACAATCTCACTACCCCACTTTCCATGGAGAAAAGAAGTCTTTGTTTGTACTGCTGGTGGGGTAATAAATGAAGAGGCAGAACTCATGAAAACTCCTGCTGTGGTTGGGATGTGGTTTGTCCCCTCCAAACTCACGTTAAAGTTTAGTCTCCAAATGTCAGTGACGAGAGGTGACAGGACATAAACAGGTATTTGGGTCACAAAGGCAGAGCCCTTAGGAAGGGACCAAGGCCATTCTTGAGGGACTGGGTCAGTTCTAACAGGAACGAACGAGTTCTAATCTCACCAGAGTGGGACTAAATTAGTAATCATGAGAGCAAGTTGTTATAAAGCGGGGCAGCCACACCTTGTATTTTATCTCTTTTATGTTCTCCCATCCTTCTCCCAGTTTCTGCCATGACACAAGTCAGCACGTCCTCTTTACCGGATACAGATGCCCAATCTGGGGCTTCAGCCTCCAGAACCATGAAGTACACAAAATTCTTTCCTTGACGAGGTCTTAAGACGGGTGCCGAGTGGTCACTTCCTGATCAAAGCGAAGATGTGGAACGGACTGTAGCTTCCTGGCCTAAGGGAAAGTGATATTGAGTCCAACTCCGAAGATGAGACCACAGCACAGAACTCTGATCATAAGTTACAGGAAGATAAAGAGGCTGGGACCATTAGAGGAGCAGAAGCCTTGGGTTTCTCAGCAGACAGATCAAAACCCGAAACAGGCCACAGTAGAGGCTGATGAAGAGTGCTCTTCTGGAACAACCTTAAATATGTGGAACACATTTCAAGAATTGCATAAAAACATTCTGAACAGAAAACTTCAACCTCAAGATCCAGAGGGAGAAAGAGAAAACGCTCCAGAAGAGATAAACTGAAGAATGAAAAAGAATCTCATCATGAGCAATCCTTAAGTGAAACCCAGGAGAAGGAGCTTACTCTGTGATAGATTTGAACCCACTGTTAAAAAGAAAAACGTTGGCAAGTCAGGCCTGGGAAAGAGGAGAGACCAGGATGTGGATGAGTAGGATGTTGAGAAGGCTGAGGAGCTGAGCAACCAGCTAACTAATCCAGAGTGCGGTGTAAAAACTGCCAGGGCAGTGGCCTGTCACAAGTGTGTAAAATCCAAAAAGGAGGCTGAGAACTCACAGGTGCTCAAAAAAAGAAGAAAGTCGCATGAGGGTTTGAGGCCAAGAAGAGACAGGAAACCAAAAGCAACACGGGATAGAGGTAACGGCACAACTCTTCAAGACACATGTAGATGTGTGTGCATAATTTACAGAAAAGATTTTTCTTCCTAGGTCAAATATGTCAGGAAGTTGACAGAAGTAGGAAAGTGTAAGCATAAATCTTGGGAGTTGATTATCAATTCTTTTAAGTTTTTTCCCCCTATGGAGTTTATTGCATTGAAGTAAATGAAATAAAGTATTTTGTTATTTATGTAAGAAATATAAGCATACATGCAGGAAATGAAGATAGGATTTTATTTATTTGCGTAGGCCTACAGTATAAAACCAATTTCTCTTTTTATGTGTTTGGTATAGCATAGCCTGTGAGATCCTTGTACTTTCTTATCTGTTTTTGACATAACTGCACTTTTTCTGGAATTCTGTTTTTAAGATTGGCTTTTGTTTAAAATGGATGAGTCATAAGTGCAAAAGTGTCTCAACTGACGCTATCTTTCCAAGTGACTGTAATTACCTTAATGCTATAAAAACAATTACTGATTCTTTATTGGAAAAAAATTTCCCAGCCTCAGGTATTCTGCTATAGCAACAACAACAAAACCAACAAGTAAGACACTTCTACAAGAGTACTTTTAATATATATATATATAATTATATATTATATATATGGCTCTTATTTGAGAAAAATAAGAAAAAGAAGTTGGGAAGAGGCAAAGGAAAGGAAATGGCAAATCAGACAGAAGAACAAGGTGGACTGGAAGTTTTGAATGGGGTAGATATATATGGCTTATTTGAGAAAAATAAGAAAAAGAAGTTGGGAAGAGGCAAAGGAAAGGAAATGGCAAATCAGACAGAAGAACAAGGTGGACTGGAAGTTTTGAATGGGGTAGAAAAAAGGAGAGATGAGGAAATTCCCGGAGACATGGGGCTTTGGGAAGAGAGATGAAGAAAGGTCCTTTCTTCTTGTATGCTGTGTGAGGCAGAAAACCACACACTTCTTCTCTTGGTCTTAAGACCTGTTGGTGAAGGAATTGAAGTGTTTCTCATGGTTCTTGGAGAATGGGGTTATATTTTTTTACTTGTCATTGTGGCTCATGTCTAGGTGTCCTTTGAAAGCCTTATGCAGTCTTTTTCAGAGGAGGCTGAATCTGGATGTGTGATGCTGGGATTAAGGGGTGTGTGATTACTAAACCAGTCCACATGAGTCAGTAGTTTGGCACCGCCCTAATCCCAGTTGTCTGCATGGAATAAAAGGGGCAGAAAGACACTGTCGAGATTCCCTTGTTGCTTTGCTACCTTCTGGGCACTGTAAACTGTTTCTCCTCTGCCAAACCACCCAGCCTTGAAGCCAGCTGATAATGGACTAAAACCTCTACAAACTGTGAGCTACATAAACTTTAACCCCCCCTTAACTTTGGGTTTCAGGGTTTTTTTTTGTCTCTGCAATGAGAGAAAAGTAACTAAGACACTTGTGGTATACCGAGAATTAGGCTCTTGGAAGCTTAATTTTACTATGATTAGAGTATGTATGATACTCATCTGTAAGGATTTTTAGATACAGTCCATTTGGACCCAGGTAGAAAGGGGCTCATGTAGGGTGTAGAAGAAAAAGAAAAGAATCAAAAGAATCAAGAAGGTCAGAGAATGATTAGGCTAAAATATTAAATGAATAACACAGATATCGGTATCTGGTTGGAAAACAAAGGACTGAGCCTGGTGCCAAAGTCCTCGGTAAATGAATATGAGTGTCCCAGAATTTGATAAATGACAGCAAGGAGAGGAAGGATGTGGTACGGTCAGAGAGCAGGAGTGTCAAAGAAGTGGGGATATTTACAAGCAGGAATAAGGCGGAGTGTGGAGCGTGAGCAGCCCTCTTTGGAAGAACTGTGAGCCAGAGCGATCTTCTTCAAGGAGAAGTAAGTTCAAAACAGTGTGTCTGGGCTGAGGATGTTTGCCCTGGAGCCAGGCACTGCAGAAGGGTTAGGAGGGAAGGAACAGGGGGACTGAGGCCTAACTTCCCAGAAGCAGAGAGGTTGGCTCTTCAGGCGGCCGGCTCCTTCTCACCTCCCACACAGCCTCCTCAATCTCCCTGTAAGGAGCCACATCTTCCCAGGCTGGAGATCCATTTCTTCCTATTTCCCATGATAGTACGAAATGACACTGTGTTCTTCATCTGTCTAACCTCCTGTTGGCAACCACCACTACCGCAATTAGAATGCAAACCCATGAAGTCAGGTAAGATGTCTAACTTTTTTTTCAGTACTGGGAAGTAGAATCCAGGGTGTATCACTAAGCCACATCCTCAGCCCTTTTTGTTCCTCCTGGGGACAGTCTTACAAGGCTGCCCAGGCTGGGCTTGAATTTACAATCCTCCTGCCTCAGCCTCCCTAGTGCTAAAATCGAATGCATGCACCGCAACACCCAATTAGGTAGGTCTGTCTATCCACTGTCTTATCCCCAGCACCTGGCATGTAGTAAGCACTCAATAAATACAGCAAATAAATTCTTTAATGAACAGAAAATGAATTAGTAGTGCCAGGGGAGCAAGAAGATAGAAGAACATAGACACTGTTGGGAAGGGAAAACGTTCCCTCTACCCGCTGAGGATTTGATACTTGAGACTGTGAAGTAAACCAGCA